CTGTGGGCAGATAGAAAATGATGGTTAATACTTGGTGTAATGCTAATTTTATCACAATGGACTTTCATTTAAAATTTAAAACATTTTCTTGAAAGATAACAGAACTGTTATTGCATTGAAGCTTGTATGTTCATATCCATGTTAATGACTGGAATTACAAAAATTAAACCCAAGATGCAAATTTCAATGATAGAAAGTAAACATTGTTTTGTGAAGACATTACACCTAACCCTTGAATCAAAAAGGAAACCCCACCTGCATTAAATCCCCTTTCATGAGAATATGAACAACCTCATTTCTCTGTGCCATTCACTTTTGTTGTTGCACCCATTTTTCATGAGCTGAAGTCAAACATCTGAACATTTGTCTACATACACAAAACACCTAGGACTCTCAAAAATCGTTCTGAAATCTGTCTGCATGTGAGCTAGTGTGCACTTTTCCTTTACCAAGATAATCCCTCCCACCTCACAGATGTGGCGTATCAAGGGGCTGATTAGACAGCATGAATAATGTACAGGTGTGCCTTGGACTGCCCACAATAAAAGGACACCCTGACATGTGCACAATTTTGCTTTATGGGGAGTGGTAGGGCAGAAAACCAGTCAGTATCTGATGTGACCACCATTTGCCTCACGCAGGGCAACACATTTCTGTAGCACAGAGTTGATCAGGTTGTTGATTGTGGCCTGTGGAAGGTTGGTCCACTCATCTTCAATAGCTGTGCGAAGTTACTGATTATTGGCAGGAAGTGAAACACGCGGTCGTATACACTGATCCAGAGCATCCCAAACATGCTCAATGGGTGACATGTCTGGTGAGCATGCTGGCCATGCAAGAACTGGGATGTTCTCAGCTTCCAGGAATTGTGTACGGATCCTTGCAATATGTGGCTGTGCGCTATCATGCTGCAACATGAGGTGATGGTCGGAGATGAATGGCACAACAATGGGCCTCAGGATCTTGTCATGGTACCTCTGTGCATTCAAAATGACATCAATACAATGCACTTGTGTTCATTGTCCATGACATATACCTGGCCATACCAGTACCCCACCGCCACCATGTGCCACTCGTTCCACAACCGTGACATCAGCAAACCGCTCACCCACACAACACCACACGCACAGTCTGCCATCTGCCCTAAACAGTGAAAACTAGGACTCATCTGTGAACAGAATGCCTCTCCAACATGCCAAACACTACTGAACGTGAGTGTTTGCGCACTCAAGTCGGTTACGACGACGGACTGCAGTTAGATCCAGACCCCAATGAGGACACCTGAGACCAGCCACTCAGACAGCTGCGGCATGCAGATGAGCTTTCCTGAGGCGGTTGTGTGAACACATGGTGTGCTCACACGTGATCAGTGATTGTGAGGCCAGTTGGGTGTCTGTATACAGACCATGTCTGTAGGACGTCCAAACTAGGTTTTTGCACAGTGGGCAAGCTACTTAGAAACATGACCACAGTGCCTCTACTGTTGCTGTCAACTGTTCTGTTATGTTTCACAGACTTTGGTAGATGTCTTTTGCAACTTTACAGTGATGATGCATATGCATTTATTAAAAGTTAGCAATTACCTTACAAATATAAAATGTAGGTTGGATGGATGGGTTAGGGTTAAAATTTTTATTTTTATTTTTGCCTATTAGAAGGTTGGGTTAAGAAGACAACAAAGAGGGCAACAAGTAAAACCCAGGCCATCATTCTTCTAGCAGCACTCCATGCCGGTGGGTTCCCAAAGTGTTCCCAGAATGAAATGGATATGCATGTATAATCTCTGCAGGGATTTCTGGATTTCCCTTTAGATCTCCAGCCTTTGCGATGAGGGGCAGCCATGGTGAAGTCCAACTCACAGCAGAAACACCCTTGACCTTGTGGACCCATCTCTCATTTTGGTTTTACAAGTCTACAAAAGTGACCTCGTATCCCATATGCTCACAACAATCAGCAAGAAATCCCCTGCGAGACAGCTGTAAGCCTTTTTTCGGTCTACAAAACGAATGTTGACTGGATAATCATACATTCTATCTGCTAATGCAAGGGATCCAGCTTTCCTGGGTCCTATTCAGAAGTAGACATGCTGGCTGGAATGAACTGATTCTCCAAAGGTTTCTTCTCGAAATGTATACATTAAATAGGCATCAACATCGGCATTATCTAATGGCTTTCATTTTCTAAAAATTAGGATTGGTAATGATTAGTGACACTGGGTCAATTTTAACAACCAATATTTATTTCCACCTTGTTTCAGGATCAGCGTTTGTTTTAGGAGGGAGAGAGGTGTGAGAGCTTAACTCTGCTCAACTTTGCTTAAAGTTGCTGTTTATACAAAGTTACCTCACAGCAATCTCTCACTCTGCATGTTGCAAATGACTCACCACCCTGTTCCCCTCTGTCTCTTCTCTGACTTTGTCTCTTTGTCACTTTGACTCCCTCTTTGTAACATCTGTCAGGAGCCGTGAACAGCTTCACACTAGCTGTGCCTTTCCTTTGCTGACTGGCCTGCCTGCCAGCCAGTCAGCTTGTGTTTTCAGCCCCATTAAACCTCACTGCTGCATCATTATAGCAGGTCTGTCCTTTCATCCTGCTACTTCCTGGTTACCATGCAATGCAAAACACCTGCTGAAGATATAGATGGTGAAGTGAGGGCACAACGGTTAAATACCGGAGAAAAACGCCTGCATGGATGGGAGTCAGAACAAGGCTTGAACGTCTAATTTCTTAGCAATTCTGCTCCCATCTCACAAAGAAACACTTTACATGAGAAATGGCACATCAGGCCTGCTAGGAATGAGCCTAAATGAGCACAAATGCTCAGAAAACAAATGAAAGAACCCTTTATGTGATTATAGCAACTCTTTATGTATGTAGATTTCATTCCCCCTACAAACTACACATATTCCTTCTTATTACCTTGACATTGACCTCATTTTTACTACCTTTTTTAATTTCAAGACTTCATTCAGCCTCACGCTCTTTCCTTTTCACATCTCCTTACTGATCACTCACCCCTCCTCCATGTCAGATTCAAACCCAATCTTCTTTAATAGTAATCTTGCTGACTAAAACACTATCCAAATGGCTGCTTAGTTCATATTTAAAGAGTAGGGCTTCTCTTTTCCCTCCCTCTTCACTCTCTCCCAACCTTTGTGTCTCCTTCCTCTTTTTATGCCGTCATCTGTATCCCCCTTCATCTCCACCTTTCCATGTCTTCCTCATCCTCAGGCCCAAATCCAACCTTTCATCATGATTGTCTGGATGTCTAAACACTCTTCAATGGCTTAATCAATACTTAATGTGCATGTCATAAATTCTTTATGAACCCTAAACCCTGAAATCTCCAGGGTTTCATTAAAGATTGGAGATATACACTTTACTCTTATCTTCAGAATGACTGGAGGGTTGGTGAAAGTCACACTAGATTAGGATTACCTCATCAATTAGTTTCAGGTTGATTTGACTGCTGCTGCCTCACATGTACATGTCCATAGGTCATTTCTAATAAGACAGGCACAGAAATCATTTCATTTTCCACAAAAGGATATGAAACATGCATTTTACATTAAATTCAGCAATATTTCTAATCCGCTGGTGTATTCTGTATGCATTTGCACCAGGCTTTGTGTCTAATAAAGATGAGAGTGTCAAGTTTAGCTGAGACGAGGATCCAAATGTGGAGAGAGGAGATCCGGGAGGCAGCCAGATGTAGTGAATAATGGGTTTATTAAAACACTGGAAGGGCAGGTGCAGAACTGAGACTAACGTGTAACAGAGGAACCAACACGAGCAACAGAACCGGGTATTAATACTCAGAGAGGAGTAATGAGACAAGGAAGAGGCGTGATGAATGACTGATTACTTACAGGTGTCACTGTCTCTGAAAAGGAAGGCAAGACTAAGACACAAGAGAAAGGTTAAATAAAGGCTAGGAATAACTAAAGACAAGCAAAAACAATGAACTGGACTAAACATAAAGAACAAGTAAACAACACGGAGGAATAAAATAACAAGAGTGGGTAGCAATAAAATAACTAACAAAGGAAAAACTACACAAGAGTCAAAAATAGACACAACTGGGGCAAACTGATCAGAACACAATAAAACAAAACATGGCCATTAGTGTAGCTAAAAGGCTAGGAGAAAGTATAAAAACAACTAAAGGAACTGTTTCATCTAAATAAATAATATAATAAAACCTTTAATATGGAAGAACAAAAAGAGTGAAGCAAAGCTGAGGAGGGACCAGGCTAAGATGAACTGCGGGAAGCAGAAAAATAAGATGAAAGACTAAGGCTATGGGACAGGAACACAAAGAGAGAGGGACAAAACATGTAAGGGACTGGGAGACATGGGACACAGGACACAACAGGGGATCAAATGTATCAGTGGCCTAATGGTAAGAGTGTCTCGACTGGAAGATCAGGATTCAAGTCCTGGTTATACCAAAGACCTTAACAATTGGACCTGATGCCTCCCTGCTTGACCCTCAGCTTTAAGGGGTTGGATGTGAGGGTTAAAGCACCAAATAGCTCCCGAGCACAACCACTGCTGCAGCCCACCGCTCCCCAGGGGGATGGGTCACATGCACAGATGTAATTTCACCAGCGTGTGATAATGATTATGGGACTTTCACTTTGACTTGTAGTGTATTGTTTCAGCGTGACAAAGACAATTTATGATACATTAAGATACATACTTGTTAGAAGCTGATTAAACCCAAAAGTTTAGATTTTATTTGTTTTTACAATATTATTATTTTCCATTGGATGTTTAGAGTTTGAGTAAAGTAATAAATCAGGAGTAATTTCATCCCTCAGTACCAAATATAACAAATGTGGCGGGCATTGTTACGCCACATTTTTATTCTTTTTTTCTCCCTTTGAAAACTAGCACACACACTTTGAAAAATGTGTGGATGTCTAAAGATCGTGAACACTTTTGATTTCATCTGCACAAAGGAGTCAAAACTGTGTCCTAGAACATGATGCAAAAGA